GTGATTGCCATTTCTTAATCTTTATGATGTTAATGGCTTTTAGATTGTTGCTAATGGATTCACTGGTATTGATGTTGATAAAATGGATTATTTTGCTTGTGATGCTCGTAGTGTAGGACTACCTAAGAGTTTTGATTGGAGGTATGGCTGAATTGTCACAATAATGCATTGTTTGACTTATAGACGCTTTACACGAACAGCAAAAATTATTTGCGTCAAAGATGAAAGAAATGAAGAATTTCGTCACATTTGTTCAAAAGATAAAGTATAAATATTAATGATTGATTTTTTCCTTTTACTTTTATAGGATGCTCCATCTCTTTATGAAATGTTTCATACAAGGACTTTGCTTTACCGTTCTGTATACAGGCACAAGACTGTTATTATAGTGGAAGACTTGTAAGTTTAAGAAATTATTATTGTTCAAAACAGCAATGATTTTTCTATGCATGTAGAATGAAGAAAGCTTTGAGAAAAGCTAATCATGTCATTTGTGTTAATGGCTACCCTTTACTTGAATACTGGAAGAATGTTGATGCATTTCTCACTTTAAACGACACAATTGAGGACTATATACTCCAATTATGTGATGAAAAATTGGTATGTTAATTCCTACACTATCATTTGTGATTATTTCATTTATATTTTTGTACAGTCTCCTCCATTGCCTCCACCAAATGCACCAGCTACTGAGCTTTTTGATGCTAAAAAATTTTTTCCAGAATTACTGAAAGGCAACTACCAAAGTTTGTAGATCGTACAGGAAATGAGTCAAATGATTATAAAAAATTAGCTTGTGACTTTGTCCTTAGTAAGGGGCTAAAAATAAATGAGAGTTACTTAGAATCAAAAGTAATTAATTATTTTTACTTTTTAAAAGCATATTAGTTTGTATTCAAGGAAGTTATTTTTAATTTTGGAAAGAGAGGGGAAGACCCAATTATGTCACATTACTTTTACAATAAAGAGAAGTCTGTTGTCATGCCCAAACCTTACAAGTTTAAGAAAGAAGAGGTAAAAATATAATTCATGAATGTATCCATATTGCTTCATTACAGGTATCTTCATTACTGCCTCATCAATTAGATGAAACATAACTATTGTGGTATTATGACGTGACTGAGCATGATAAGGAATGTACTAGCAAAAATGAGGCAAAAACTGGCAGTGCCATCATGGAAATTTTATTGCAATACTTCACCTCTGAGGCAAATAAATAACAATAAAATTTGTCATGTTATCAAGTTAAAAATGAATTTTTACATTTTTTAGATTTGAATTTTATTTTTTTAAGATTAATTAACTTTTATAACGTTAACTAATATCTGGCGGACAATCCTAAAATCACAGCTATTTTGAATAAAAACTGTATCATCATCAATCTTAATGTACTATTGATTATTTGGTGTGTTATAATATACCATATAGCGAGAAATTTTGGAGGGAACTAAATTTGGTGAATTTAGCATTTTATAGTCATTTGCCAAAATAGAATTGGCCATTTGAGCCATTTTATGCATGCTCAATGGCACGTGGCCACTAATTTACATCATTATTTCATTTCATTAGGTTACTGCTTCAAAAGGTGAAGAATATGCTAAATGAGTGAATGCCATATTCATGGAGTGCAGTGCCAAAGATGACACCAATGTAAAGGACCTATTCTCTAGAATAGGTTAGAATACATGTACATGTAGTGATACTTTATGTAAACATGTATTTAATTTCTTTCATTCTCACCTCTCTCCTCTAGCTGATACTATACCATTAGATAAATTAAATGTTGATTTAAAATTCGGTACAATCAAATTAAACAGAAAATCTGGACACTCAAGCTCAGGTTGTTCCTGTTAAAATGAGAAGCACACACGAATAATTTATCACACATCCAGAGGGAAAGGACATCATATCTTATTACATGCATCAATTCAACATCACTACTCACCAGCTGGTACATATAGTCCGTTATATGGAGCAGCTGTGGATTAACGTTTGTGTATGGAGTGACACGAAAGCAATGATTATAATTAATAGCTCATCAATTTTATTACTTAATAACTATTATTATTATTATTATTATTATTATTATTATTATTATTATTATTATTATTATTATTATTTAGAATTTTATGTGACAGTACAAGTAGCTGCAGTTGAATAGTAGATTTAACTCAGCAGAAAAAGCTGCTGCATACATCCTTCTACATATCTGCATTACACTTGATCTAATAATCTTATTGCCACATTTCAATGACAAAATGGAATTAAAGAAAAGGTTTTTATTAATAAAACAATCTCATTGTAATGTCAGCATTAAAGTTTTTTGTTAGTAGAAAAACACTCTATCTTTTATGATATTATAGTCACAATATTCTGTGCATATATCTTTGTCGTCATCATGTAGATAGAGTTTGATTTTAGTATTAACTAATAACGATTGAAGAATTAGCATTATTCCATCAGATGATATCGAAGTGCCTGCTAAATCTAATACTTCTAATATTGAATTTTTGATTAGGTCAGAAAGACTTTGCGAAATAGCAGAGGTAACAAGAATATTTCTCTGGAAGCTTAGTCCTTTAAGTGTATTATTTTGTAGCAATACATTTGTAATGTCAGCAACTGCTTTGTCATCAATGGAACAGTTACAAAGATATAAACCTTCTAGCGATTTATTATTAGCCAGTAAGTTACATAAGGATGAGATGCAGTCCTGCGTTAGTTGAGTGTCACGTATTGTCAAGGATCTCACATTTTCATTTTGTAATAAAACTGGCAACAGATCGAACACAACATCAGGAGATGATTTGATTATCCTTATGCTACGATGCTTGCTTGTTAATAGAGAAACTACTTCTTGACATTGTATTAAAGATGGAGAGGTCAGTTGAACACCATCATCATACCACCTAATTGCTTTAGGCGTTCCTAATACACAAACAATTATAATTAATAATTATTGTATTATCAAGTATAATTCTCTACTATCATTATTTTTAATGGCTATTAAGGCAATGAAAACTTCTGTCTACATTTTGTGGATTTTATGCTTTAAAAGTTTTGTTTCAAAAAATTAATACAAAAACTACAAAATACTCTATAGATTATTAGTACATATAAATATATCTTACCATGTTCTTTTTTTCTAAGTTGATCTAGCAGAGCTGAATCTTTTTTAATTAATGATAAAAAGAGACTTGCTCTCTTAACATTGTTGCTTGTCTTAATTTCCTTGATTTTAGGTATGTCAACGTTTTCTGTCATTGCATAATGAAATAGCTCAAGTAATTCTGATGTTGACAGTTCACTCTCTTCATCTTTTTCAATTAAGTAACTAGGAACAAGCCTCTCTTCATCAGTATCTAAAGATCTTGCTAGCCACCATTCGTTAGTACGCTCTTCCTTGACCTCAAATTTCTCTCCTTCCTTGATTGAAAGCTGATTATTTTCTTCTTGTTTCCAGTCTTTAGTAGCTACATAAACTGCTTTTGGTCGATCAATATATTTTGAAGGCTGATCCTTTCCTAAAATACCAGTACTAGTCATTATGTTATTATAATGCAATACATACTAAGAGTTTCTTTCAGTTGTTGTAACTGTTCTATCTCCTTTTCTCTTTCAATTAATGTTTTCTCTACTTCAATCAATGTTTCTTCTATCCCTAGTCATTAATAATAGTCATTAATATAAATCAACAATTAGTTGCTACTTATAAAAAATATTGACTCTCATAACAATAAATATTTTGTGTATTATTTAATTGCATGTAAGAAGGACCAGTATTAGTATTGAGTATATACAATCATCCTCCTACTATAACAAATTAATGTACAACCAATAATGATACTCTAAACACAGCTGTACTGTATTGTCATTATACAGTATTAAGTATGTCTGTATATATACCTGTTTTACCTGTTTTGCTTTGAAGAGATGATCGTAAATGATCTATTTCCATTTGCATTGCTTTTGCCATCTTCTTTTTACTCTCTTCCTTCTCAGACTCTAAATAATAAAAATGAACCAATTAAATTATTAGCAAAAACAATCAGCTATATCATGTATTTATTCAAATTTCATGCACATGACAATATTCAAAAATTTCATGTCTCAAAACATGAATGTCATTATACTAGATATGAGATACCTTTAAATCATCAATAATTATAATTAATAATAATTAGTATATACCTAATGTGTCTATTGTACCCTTCAATTTAGCATTCTCCTCAAGTAAAGCATCTGTCTCCAGTTTCTTCATTAGACTCTTCACCTCCTATCAAATATTAAAGTATACTATTAATTTATATACACATACATTCACTAACCTCATCAATTCCATGTTCATCATACACAGTATAGTAACCAATAGTTAAACTAATCGATCCCATCTCCTTTAGCATATCAACATTATCTCTAGCTGTCACTAGTAAACTCTCCATTGAATACAGATCCTTGAACATTTTCCATAGGAGGGCTCTGATACTGGAGAGAGAATGCCCACTTGGAATCTTATTTCAGAACAAACCTGATCATCTCACAAGTGAGGAGAGAAGAGGATAATCTCTTAAGCTGACAATTACAAAGCATTGTTAATTTTTTCTTGCAGAATTCATCCAAGTGTGTCTGATAAGCTAATATCTTGTCTCCAGCATCTTGTATTGAGTATTTTTTCACTATAGTCTCCAATAGAGCAACATTAGTGATAGAACACTCATCCTCAATCACTTCCATTACATCATCAAAGCTATTAGCATGTTTTAATCGAGGCTTTAAGCTTCGACGACACCTTCCAAGAAAGGTTTTAAGGTGATTTAGAGATAGAATTGATTTTTCAATGAGAGGAGCAATATCATCAATAAGTGTACCAAGCATATCACCCATTCTATCAAACTCAGCTTTATCATCAGGATAAAATATGACAGTCTTTAGTTTTACTGCACCTACAAAGTATAATGACATTAATTCGGGTAAACCTTAGAGTTACTTTTAATTATGGGTACTAAATTTTTGCAATTTTAGCATGTGGTAGATTTTTATTTATCCCAAACACAAAATTTGCAATTATAGCACCCGTATTTAAAAGTAAACATTGTTAATTTGTTCTCACAGAATTTATCCAAGTGTGTCTGATAAGCTAATATCATGTCTCCAGCATCTTGTATTGAGTATTTTTTCACTATAGTCTCCAATAGAGCAACGTTAGTGATAGAACACTCATCCTCAATCACTTCCATTACATCATCAAAGTTATTGGCACCTTTCAATCGAGGCTTTAAATATTGACGACACCTTCCAATGTAGGTCTTCAAATCATTGACAGACGGTATGGCTGCTTCAATAAGAGGAATAATATTGTGAATAAGTGTACCAAGCTTATCATTCATTCTATCAAACTCAGCTTTATAGCCAAGAAAAACTATGACCTCTACTACACCTATAATATAGTGTAATGACATTGAATTGGGTATAATTAATGTTACTAACCTTGTGCAGTAGCATCAGTATTGGTAGTTACTTGAGTCTCACTACTACTATCTTGTAATTGTCCAGATCCTGTATTTATTATAATAGTCAATGTATAAGTATAGGTTATACAACAAGGTCGAGGTTTCCATGGGATTTACATGTATTTTACCGCGGGAAAATAATCCCATAGAAATCAAGACCGAGGTGAATAACAGACTTCTGCCATGCCAAACCAGTCAGACAAACACAAACAGGCTTCATTATGTTGCCAAAAAAACAAGCGCATCTTTTCAGTTGGTTAGTATAAAGGGCAATACACACAGGTAACTTAAAAGGCTATATGTTAAGACAGGAAGTGCTGTATAAACCAATGGCCACCATTTAAGTAAGGTAGGATTAGTAAAATTTCTATTCTTACCTTACCTAAACGGCTGCAATTGGTTTATATAGCTCTTCCTGTCAAGCCTTAAGTTGCCCAAAAAAGGGCTAACTTAGAAAAACTTGGTTACATTCTAATTATATTCTGTGAAATGACCAAGTTTAGTCATAATAACAGGAACTACAGTAGCAGTGTAGCACTATGTACAGTTATTTTACAACAATGAGCAATATGATAAATAAGCTTTAATGATTGCTAAAGGAACTTGCATGACATACATCACCCAATAAATTGTAATTGTAACAACAAGGTGAAGGTATCTATGCATCAATTGATCATACCAAGGGCTGAAGGTATAATAAATGCCATAGAGCGAGAGTTAGAAATAGTCAGTCTATTTTTAAGCAGGAGGTTAATAAGTAATTTCTCGGACTACTTATTAACTTCCGACTACCCAGAAATTTACTCATTAACCTCTGACTACATACCTGCAAATTTTTTATAGTGCCAATAAATCATTTATTTATGAACCTAAAATCAAGCAATCTGATTGGTCAATTACAAGTAGGCATGGTAGAAAGTACTAATTTTTTGCAATTTTAGCATGTGGTAGATTTTTTATTCATCCCAAACGCAAAATTCATAATTATAGTACCCGTATTTAACAGTAACCTTAAAATGTTACTGACCTTTTGCAGTAGTATCAGTATTGGTAGTTACTTGAGTCTCACTACTACTATCTTGTAATTGTCCAGATCCTGTATTTATTATAATAGTCAATGTATATATGTTATATTATATCATTACTTGAAGATGTTGAAGTACTTGCTTGTTGACAAGATGGCATCACTGTTACTGCTGAAGGAAATGACTTTCCTATTGTATTAGAATATAAATAAGTTAAGTGTATTTATAAAACTGTTCATTTACCATATTCCATTATTATATCACTAGCTAAAGACACTGCTTCCTTTGATTTCATTAGAATGCTTGTCAGAGTACATAACTTGCTATGATCTTCAGCTACAGCACTTAATATTAGTAACATTGGATCTCCTACCAATGAACAACCGCAACTCTTCACTTCTGTTAATGTATCCTTAGATATCAATCCCTCTGTATGTAAGAGATCAACTGATTCCTCAGTAAGAACAACTTGAGCTAGTCTATCAATATAACACTGTAATATCTCACTAACAGGATCTGCCACTAATAAAAATATAAATAAAATATA